GCGACGTGCTCTGTCTCCCTCCCTCCTGGCAAGGGGAAGGTGCAACAGGCGGGAGAGGCGGGGAGGGGAAGGGCGGGACGGCATTTGGGGTGATGGATGTGGACGGACCGGGGGAAGGCCAGGTTGGGATGGCGGGAGGACCAGAAAGGGCCGCAGGGCCGATGGGAGGGGAGATGACGGAGGGCACGCGAGCCTTGTCTCTGCCTCTTTCCCCCCCACCCCGAGCAAGCAATTGCACGCCCGTCACCCTCTCGTTGAGCCGTCGTGGCCTTGTGTGGGGCCCACGGTCCGAAATCCTCCTCTTGGTGCCGGAGGCGCTCTGGAGTGATGGGACAGGAAGGAGGAGGACGGGGGCGGAGGTGCTGCGGCAGGCGTGGAGCCTGGCACGGGGGCAGGTGGCCTGCGGGGAGGGAGGAACCGAGGGAAGGGGGGGAAGGAACCAAAGAGGAGGGGAAGGCGTGAGAGAGAGCTGGGTGGAGGAGGCGGGCTTCGAGCAGGGAGGGCGGGAAGAGGGGGGGGATATGGGGATAACGGTACGGCTAGGTAGAGCTGACATGGTGATGTAAATAGACAGCGTCCATTGGCAGGATCTGTGGATCATCAGGAGGCCGTGGCCGTGGCGGGCACCGTGCGTGTGGGCAATGTGTGTGCCAGGAGGCTTCCTCCGGCCAGGAACTTTCCCTTGCAGGATGCTTTATGGCTTCAGGTCATCGATGGTCAAGAAAGTAAAAATAACGGGAAGAACCTCGGCTCTAATTATTGCTCACGACAGCCCTTCTTGACGCACGTGTCAGGTTGCGCTGCGATCACAATCTCTACAGATACCTCCGATGCTTCACAAGGAAAACACATGGTGCCAGCTCACGCCAATATTGCCTGCATATCTGTGCAGAATACACGTGAAATACGCCTTCGACGGGAACAGGAAGGTGTTGCCCAGTGGGAGTGCTCGGAATGGAGATGTGCCGACCGAGCGTTGTAGGTGTATTTTCATCACTCGTTTGCCAAAATTTTGACCATTACTTTCTCGCGAAGGGCATGACCTTCTGCAGCAGCGTCATACGATTTTCGTTTAAAAAGTTACTTTCAAGACACAACTCAAGGGCTTCCTCCTCTAGCTTCAATCAACGACAGAAAGGGATTCAAGCTGAACGAAAGCGAGCCGCAGAGACATCAGATAGACTTTCTCTCTTATCAAATGCTCTCTGCGGCTAAGAATGGAAGAAGTGTGTCGTGTGAATTACATAGTAGCGAGAAAAAGGAAATCTTTCAAGTGGTATGGGCCGTAACAGTTTTGCCCGGTGATGACAGAGCATGCACGAGGAAATATGTGAGCCCAAACAATCCGAGAACTTTTCCAATAGATAATCATGCTTAATTGTATTGCTAATCATTAGTAAGACCAGCGTGATCTTGTGTGACGGCCGTGACCAACGAGACGACTGAAGTCGATGAACGTGGAACGCACCTCGAGCATTTCCTCTGGCGAGTTCAACACAATCGTCAGAGGCCATGGCCAGCTCCCCTAGGCAACATTTTACAACGATGGGCACGCATTACTTTGCTTTCTGTCTCATTCTGTCTTAGGTTCCTGTCATGCGGCGAGCACGTGTCTTGGAATGTAGTTTGCAGAGACGGTCTGGGAATGTGTCCCCCCTTTCTTTTTCCTGTTAAGAACTCAGATTCCGCGTTGCTCATCGCTGCAAGGCCACGGCGGCCCCGAATTTCCGATTTGTATGTCTATGAAGGCCATCCAATGCACCGTAGTGTTTTCATAGAGTCGGTCCGTGGATTGCGGTGGGAAAGTTAAGCGCCCCTCGCCCTTCACTCCGTTAACCTCCCATGCCTGCCCTGCCTTCTCCTTCCCTCAGAGTTTCCTCATGCTCCCCGTCCTCTTCCTCTTACCCTGCGTGGCCGCCTGCACTCAAGCTTTCCGTTCATCTTTTGACCCGGTACCCGTTCCCGGACACTCGGGCTCCCTTCCTCCTCGCCCAGTCTGTTTTGCCGGGGCCACGCCTAAGTGGGGCTTCCGCCTCCCCCCTTCGCATGGCCGCAGGAGCAGCATTCGGAGAAGAGGGCTCGCATGGCCAGCCTCTTGGCCTCCACCTTCGTGCGGGCAAGGAAGACAAGGAAAGGTCGAGTGGAG